CGGTAAACCGTAGGCAGAGAGGGAGAAGAGGACAACAAACGAGGGGCTGTGACAAACTGTTTCATCGGAGTTTCACCGACTCATCAGGAGGCTGATATATCGTCACAAACATATATATATATCTTTATATGGCTTGTGATGGATGGGTTGAGAACCGACAGTCTGTAGAGTTTTTCATCTGGTTTGGGTGAGTGATAGTCTGCTTTTATTTTCGTCACAGAGGTACCTTGAGGGCGGTGGTTGGTGCGAAACTCAGGGTATCACTTGTCAGGCAGTCGTTGATGATTAACCACAGCCGGGGTTAAGGTGGATTATATCAGTTACGGCGTAATCAGTTAGGGGCACCGACTCATCAGGAGGCTGAACCCTCAACAGTCTGCAGAATCCCCTAATAACTGATTAGTACACTGTAAGTGATATAATCCACCTTAACCCCGGCTGTGGTTAAGCATATATCGTCATGTATCAGCCTCCTGACGAGTCGGTGAAACTCCGACGAAACAGTTTGTCACAGCCCCCCCTCGTTTGTTGTCCTCTTCTCCCTTTCTCCCTCTCTGCCTACGGTTTACCGTGCGGCTCTGTCTGCCGATATATATATTTATTATTTAATGATGGCAAACATCAAACAACGAGAGGAAAACTGCACTGTACCTGGAAATTCAGAAGTGAACCAAGAGGGATTTTCTTGGTGAGAAAATGGATATCACTGTCCGTCGGTGTGTAGACTAATTTCCATCTGCACTTCGGCCCGCCAGGCTTCAGGACAAACTTCATCTGACAGCTGTTTACCTGCAAACAGAACATCCACCGGCGCAAGCAACTAGTTATTATAAATTTATAAAGATGAAATTCACAGAAAAAAAAAAAAATGTTAAATGAGATATACTTTCGCCGTTTTACGTATGAGTCATAATATTTCGCAAATTTTGAGGTCTATGAGTAATCCAAGTATCCGTAAAGAATCTAAAGATTCGACAAGTAGAATATATTTCACCGTTAGCAAACCATACTCTTTCCGTACAGAAAAGATATTCTATAAGGTAAAATTTCTAAATTAGGCAAATGGGTAATGATTTATCAATGGGGAAACTACGCGGCGGTCACAAAAACAGTTCGAAATTGCACTTCCAGCGTTCAGCCTGAAAGTGTCGAATGTATACAAGCTAGCTTTCCGGCCCGGTCCGGTCCGGTCAAGAAGGGGGGTGTTATGTTCGGGGGAATGCCTGCAGTGCAATTTCAAACTGTTTTTGTGACAGCCGCATAGTTACCCCTTTATCAATGGTAGAAAATCAAAATCACCTCTTTCCGTGACTCAAAGTTTTCATCTTATTGACGATGGTTTTGTTTTTAAACGTTGGTTCATGAACTTGTTCTAGTTTGGGAAAAGAGTTCCAGCAAGAGCTGTGTGTGTGTATGTGTGTGTGTGTGTGTGTGTGTGTGTGTGTGTGTGTGTGTGTGTGAGAGAGAGAGAGAGCTCCACAGCCGCGGTTGTAGAAAAGGAGAGAGAAACCAACCTTTGGCTGAGCAACATTGCAAAGTTGAAAACTCGTACTCTAGCAAAACGTTTTAGGCACAAGCATAAAAGCATTTTTTTTTGGGGGGGGCACCCCCCTGATCCATGTCAAGATCGGAACCTAATGTACAGATGGTATCCACAAGCAGAATCTGGATGGTTTTCAGGTCCAAATTCAGAGTCCTTTACGCTTCTATCATTCAATGGGGGCAACAGCGGGCACATTGGAAAGAACGCTGATTCCAGTTCTGGGCAAATTCAGTTTCGTCAAGCAAGAGGGGGGGCGGGGGGAAGGGGGGAAGGGGAAGACATCAACAAACAACTCTGAAAACTCGATTCATTTGTTTGAAACATGAACTGGAAGAAAAAAGGAAAATTGGAGATGAATTCAATTTTGGAGTAGAAAATGTAGAAGTGGGGGTTTGGTGAACCAAAAATGATTTTTCCTAAACAAATAAAAAGGATATGCAAAAATAAACTAGTTTGGAACTTTGGAAGTTTGGACTGAATTAACGCAAATATGGCGAAGTGACAATAATCACGTAAAAGTACTAAAAGGTTTTTTTATTTATTTATTCAGTAAATGGAGGCTATGCTGTAGCAATTGCAGATCATACAGCTTTTCTTCCTAAGAGTCTTCGAAAAAGCCGAAAAGTTTTTCATAGTCAATTGGGGAACAACTGATATGACAAACTTTGCACAGAGATGGCTGTTTTCCACAAACCACAAGGATATAGGTACTTTCTATCTAATCTTTGGTGCAATTGCTGGAGTAATGGGCACATGCTTCTCTGTACTAATTCGCATGGAATTAGGTTCAATTAGCACAGCCAGGAAATCAAATCCTTGGTGGAAGTCATCAACTTTATAATGTGTTAATAACAGCTCGTGCTTTCTTAATGATATGTGCGCCGCTGTGCTAGATGTTTGCAACCACACCACTGCAACAATGTGGTGAATAAATAAAATTGTGTAGCGGACTTACCATAAATTAAAGAAAATAAAATAAAGGTACCGATAGCTTGTCCGTCTGTAAATGTTCTCAAAGGCTCAGGAAGGAGTCCACTATAATATAATGCCAGAAATCTAAGATCAATTTCTGACAAGTTGTTTATAGAGTTTAGAAAAGTCCAACTCTGATTACCAGCACAACATTACGCCCACGGGCGACAGCTCAGCTCACGAGGATCGGCTAAAAGCCGCCACCGCCGTCCTGATTGTTCTCAAAGGCCTGTGGCGGGTGGTATACTTGCGGGCTGTGGGCAAGAGCAGCCTACCAGCCGCAGGGGGGCTGGCGGCAGGGCGCACCTTTGCGACACAGAAGGCCCAAAACGTTTTTTTAGGTTCAGTACTGTCAGGGTTGGGAAAACCAATACGTTCG